GGGACACGGGGCGGTCTGCGGTCACGTGAGGGTGAGTCTCTTACAGGCTGTTCAGGTCACGAGCCTCAGTCCGCCGCCTCCCTCCCTGCTGGGGTGGAATCGAGGTCTGCAGAGCTTTGGGCTAGAGGAGGCACCCAGGTCAGCAGCCCTGTCCAGTGTAGGACTAAAGCCTTGGAGCGTGTCCTGCATCTCCCTGGCTCCACTTGTGAGATCCCAGATCAGATCATCTCCCAAAAATCTCTACTTGGCTCTCAGGGATCCCCTGGCTCTTTCACTGAACTCCACCAAGCAGGCGGGGTTGGAGCAGCCACCACTGCCAGGGAAAACCCATGGCGGGACTTCCCTGTAGGGCCACAGATGAGCCGAGACACTGGCCTGAACTTCCCACTGGTGGAGACCAGGGGTGGCCTGGCGCCCAGGGGCATCGAGGTGGCAGCCGGCTCCTGCAGTCCCAGAACCTGAACGTGTGGGTCGAGGTGACTGCATGAGCTTGAGGCCCAAGGAGCAAACGTGAAGCCACTCAGGCGTGCAAGCAGTGTCCAGCAACCCTGCCCTGGGTCTTTAGGGGTTTCATAGAGAAGCCGCAGAGTCTGCCAGCTCCAGGACCCACCCTCCCTCACTCCTAGCCATGCTGGACCAGCAGGTGAGGAGCCTCTGAGGGTGTGGAGACTCCCAGAAAGATGGGCAAGAAGGGTTCTGGGGTTATTTGGGGTCAAGCATAATGTTGTGTTCATACCTCAAAACACATAGTGGGGCTTCTCATCTCTGCTCTTGAGACCACCTTACTGAATTCCCCGGGCCCTTCCTCCACTTGTCCAGGCTAGGTGGGAGGTTCAGCTCTGGATTAAAGAAAGGTGGGAGAGGGACCAGTAGATGGCGTAATGGTTATGTCACTAGACTCCTACATGGACAACCCCGGTTTGAGTCCTGGACCTGATGGTTTGAAATTCACACTGTGTGTGAGTGCGTGTGCGTGCCCAAGATCCCGAGAGGAGAATGGAGGAGAAGGGACTGTGGTGTGACCATCCCCCCTGGGGAGTGACTTCTTGCTTTCTGTCTCTCTATCTCCCGTAAGCACACATGTCCTATAGCAAAAATCTCTCTAAATAAGAAAAGAAAGGAGGTTTTGCAGGGGAAAGATGACTTGCAAGCAGTTCGCATAATCCACATGCTTTTCCCAGGGAGCACTCTAGCTCCTAGAGAAATGAAAGACCACTTCAAATGACCCACAGTCGGACTTGAGCCTGGATGGAGGACACAGCCCAGGTGCTGAGCAGAGGCCGGGATGGGGAAGGCAGCCGGCCTTGGGATGAGGGGTTTGAGGTTAGCAAAAAGATAAAGAAAGCTATTCCCCCCATGGCCCAGCCCCCTTGCACAGCCCCCCAAATGATGGGTGGGGGGGCAGGAGAATGGACGGGGTGGGAGTAGGCCTCCCAGCAGGAGCTACTTTCCTGAAATTAGGGCCCATTTAGGGGAAAGGCAGGAGCTGGGCGATGGCCGGTCCTGCCTCCATTTCCCAGTACTTCTCCCCCCAGATCCCCACCCAGGCCCTGCCTGGTGCCAAGCACGCCCAGCTGAGAGCCTCCCCTGCCTCACAGACAGCCCAGTGAGCACCACCAGAAATAGAAAAGAAGGCCACGTTTATTTCATTTCTGGAAGGTGCGGGCCTTTGGCCTCCTCAGGGCTGTGGAGTTGCAGGGTGTGCTGGTTGGCATGGCTACCTGTTGACCCTGGCTGGCTGCCTCCCAGGACAAGGAGGGAGGGAGGAGGGTCCCAAGGCATGATACCTGGCCTGGACCACCCATGTCCCCCACCTTAGGCTCTGCCCAACCAGGGACAGAAGGAAAATAAGACTGTGTGGCAGTGCTCAGGAATCACAGGACGGGGAGAGCTGTGTTCAGTGTGAAACGGTTGAAGAGGAAGGAAGACTGAGCTGAGGTCATCTGACCCAGCACCCTGGGGAAATCCCACAGACTCCTCTCCTGTTCCCAGGGGAGCACAGTGCTATAAACCAGAAGGGAATGGGGAGCCTATGGGAGCCTCTGCTCCCCACAGCCTAGCCATGTTCCACTCTGCAGCCGGACAAAGGAGGAGCAGGACCTGGGGCTGGGTAAGACCCAGGGGCCAGCCCAGGCTGGGGCTGCTGCACTCTGTCCTCTGGGTCCTGACCGAGACAGCCTGGGGGCCAGGCAGTGAAAGGTAGTGCTGGCGACATCCGGCCGTTGGCCAGGAGGGAGGTAGGCTGGTGCGATGGGACCAGCTCTGGCCTAGGTGGAGCCCCGCAGTGCAGGAGAGCAGAGTTCGGAAGGTTCTAATGCTTCAGGGTGCCTTGTGGCCCTGCGGAGCTCAGACATCAGGAGCTGGCGGGACTTTATTTAACCTGTAGGGAACGAGAGGCATAGGGTAGCTTAGCCCACCTGCTGGGGAAGCCTGCAGCGCGCACCCAGAGCCCGGCAGTCCACCTGCAGCGCACTGCGCCACTCACATCCTCTTCTAGAATCTTGTTCCTGGACGCTGTTCCCATCTCGCACTGCCCGTTAGTCACCTGAGAAGCTTATCAAAACCCCCAACCCTAGCTGCATCTGAAGTCTCCAGAGGCAAGACCAGGTGTTGAAAGCCCCCTGATGCACAGGTAAGGTTTGGAAGGAGGGAAAGGAGTTCACACAAGGTTGTATGGCTCTTTGGCCACAGCTCTGAATAAGGAAATGAAAAGTCACTAAAATAAAGTTTTGAGTTATCAGTAAACAGACTATATATCACAGTGAGAAACAATTTATGTCAACCCTAAATTTAGAACTTCCTGCCCGAGCAGGCTGTTTTGGAAAGTCTTTCCAAGAAGCTGCTAAACCTCCTCCTTTAGGTATTGAAGAGGATGGGTTCTCCTCATGCTCCCCTACCCGAGGACACTTAGAATCTCTGGCTCCTGGCTTGCCTATCTCTTGGGTCAATATTAGCGTCCCAGACTGGCGTGACTCCTGGGAACACTAAACACAAAGGACTCCTTGCCTCCACGCCCCGTCGTCCTCCCCCAGACACCTCCCGTAGCTCATCTTACTTAATCCCGGAGCTAGCAGCATGAGGGAGGGCTGGCTATTTCTGTTTTACAGGGGAGGGAACTGAAGCTCAGAGCCGAGCAGATCTCCCCAGGGTGAGCAGTCAGGATTCAAACCTGCTGGGATCTGCTGACGTTCCGCCCTGCTCCTGGGCCCCACACAGACACAAGGATGATAGAGGCCCATGTGTGCCCATGTAAACAGAGCTGCTGACCTTCAGGGCAAGCAAGGACCATGCTGTATTCTGAGATCTCTGGAGTTACAAGGTGCATTATGGGACCAGATGGTGACATGGTGGCACGGTGGTAAGATGTGAGGCTCTGCAAGGCTGACCCATACCGGAAGAGCCTAGGTCTGCATCTAGACCCCTCTCTGATTACACCAGGCATGGGTCTGGGGCTGGGGGCACATCATGGCTTCAGGACCCTGGTGGGGGTTAGTATTCTAATGTGGGGTGGGGTAAAAGTCTCCCTCT